ATTTATTTCACTCAAATACTTCGTATATTTGATGCAAATAAAAATTATTTGACACAATAAATTAATTTTATTGATTCTAATAAACTTGATTGTTTAATCCGAATAATTCGTTATTCAAAGCTAATACACTATTTTATCAAGACAAATAAAAAAATATTTCAATCAATTAAATAATTATTTAAAACAAAATAATGAATTACTTGAAACTGTTCATTTATTTATTTCACTTAAATATTTCATTTATTTAATACAAATAAAAAATATTTCGACAAATAAATGTGTTATTTGGATACAGAATATACGGCAGTGGCATTGATATAGTAGATTAGCCCGAGTTCTCACTAAGTCTCAGTGGCCGTGCGGTTTAAATAGTTTTTTTTATTAAATATAGAATGAAATAATTTTTATAATTGATTCAAATAATTATTTACTAGCTTCAAATATTCCATTTATTTGATTTGAATAATTTGTATTTGATACACTGCAAAAACTAGCGTCTTCAAAACGTCTTATTTTAAGACATTAGACGTTTTGAAAACGTCTAGTCTGGAATAAATGACTAATTCATCTGTCTTTTATGCAAAGTGTCTAAAAATTTGAGACACTTCTTGCGTCTTACAAATGTAAACAAGTCACTTTCAGTGCTTATAATTTAAGACATGTAATGTAGACGGTAAAAGTGTCTATATTTAAGTCATTTTTGCTAATTTAAGACGTTTTCGAAGTAAGACACTTTGAATAAAAGACATTTTGTGTATTCGAGTATCTTCGGTAATATTCGTCTTGCTTCGTCTCGATGAAAGTTTCCCGCGCAATATCAATGCATACATGCATTTTTAGGTTATGTATCGATTCAAGCAGTAAATTTCATCTGGATGAAGACACTTTAAACGTCTCCAAAATAGTCACTTTTAATGTCTTCCTAAAAGACATCCCAAAACGTCTTAAAAATAAGGACAAAAGTGTCTCAAATATAGACACCTGTTTTTGCAGTGTACAAATAACTATTTATTTGATACGATAAAACAAAATACTTAGGTCTAGTAAATATTTATTTGAGTTAAATAATTTCTATAATTGATTCAAATAATTATTTATTAGTTTGAAATATTCCATTTATTTGATTTGAATAATTTGTATTTGATTCAAATAAATAGTTATTTGATGCAATAAAATAAAATATTTAGGTCAAATACATATGTATTTGGTTCAAATACACATTTATTGGATTATAACCAAATAAATGATTTATTTGGATCAAATTATTTTTTATTTGATTCAAATAAATTTTTTTTTCAGTGTAATTATAATTTAAGTAATTTTTTTTCCAATTTTATTTTCAAAAAATTTTTTTTAATTAATTACATATTTGTAATCTGCAAATTTGGTTCCTCTACATAAGTAGACATATATACCATACTTCAATATATTTCTTTTTCATTTATTTTTTTTGTACCAAAAGATTTTAATATTGGTGTACGGAACCCGTCATTTCAGTGTGAATGCAACCCCGCACTTGTCCAATTTTTTTAGTTCTACTCAGTTTTACTTTTATTATAAAAACCGAAATTTAGGTTTTGAAATAAAGGGTTTAAATTTTTATAATACGGGTTTCGGTTTACGGTTTTCTGTTTCAGATAGCTTTTTTTCGGTTACGGTTTCTAATTAGTTAAGAAACTTTCCTAAAAAATTTTCCAGCAATAGAAAATTAATTAAAAAATGTTTCTTATTTGTAATAAACAATTTAATACAGAAAAAATTGTTCATTCCAATCTTTTATATTTTGTTGTTTTCGAATAGGTAATGTTTATTTCTTAGAAAGTATATTAATTAAAAAAAATTGTTAAGTTACTAAAAATTAAAATACATAACAATATCATATTTTTTAATAACTTTTGTAATAACCATTATAAATAAATGAAAAATATATGCGATTATTACAATGAGTTAAAAAATAGACATAAAAATTGCTATAATTTTTTTTGCATACTTTTTCAAAAATGTTTTCGGACATTATTTTATAATACTAAGAAATTATTTTAAAGCAAAAAAAGAAAAATCGATTTTTTTAAATCCTTCACATAAAGTCCCCTTAATTTTTTAAATAATATCAAAAGTAAAACAACAATAATTAACTTTAACATTACTTATAACTAAAATATTCTTTAAATTATTAATCAATAGTTTAATAATGTGTAAATTAAATACAATTATATTAAACTGTGAAGTGATTCTATTGAATTGATTTTACGAAAAAATATTCTAATATAGATATTTTATGAATTAACCAATGTCTTATGAGTTAAGTAATTTTTTTGTACACTTTTAGTCAACAATTTTACAAAATGACCTTAAAAAAAATATTCACAAAGTTTAAAAAACGGAATTCAAAAATCGTAACAAATTATCAATGGAATATTAAATTGTACTTTTAATGAGAGCATAATGTTAAAGAATTAAAAGCATTAGGTATAAGTTTTATTTAAACATTGAAATAAAATTAAACTTTCTTAAATTCAATACCTAAAACAGACAAACTTTTGAATGTTGAAAATTAGAATCAAAAAGATATAAGTACGTATTTCGTACATATTTTTTTCATAATAAAAAACAAAGAATCATTTTGATTATTGATATCCCACACAGCACATGATATTTCCTGAATACTTCCTGAATATTTCACTGAAAGATTGAAATATTTCATTGCAAGATTCAGGAAATATTTCTGCAAACAGGAAAATGTCCGCTTATGTAGGAATATTGACGCGAAAATTGAGAAAATATTTCATTGAAATATTCCTGCAATATTACACATAAAGATTCTGCAATATTGTGAAAATATTTCAAAAAATGGAAAAATTTGTTAAACACCTCAAATCAATAGGAATTTTCTGAAATATTTTAAAACCCATAGGATATAGTAAACCAAAAACTACTGCGCAACTCTACAGGCCATAGAAACTGAGTTCGACCAGTGCGCATCATTTCAGTTGAATATTTCCAAAATATTTCAATGAAATATTTTCTCAACTTTCGCGTCAATATTCCCACATAAGCGGACATTTTCCTGTTTGCAGAAATATTTCCTGAATCTTGCAATGAAATATTTCAATCTTTCAGTGAAATATTCAGGAAGTATTCAGGAAATATCATGTGCTGTGTGGGATAAAACTTATAAAGTTTGCATCGCAGTATTAAAATACAAATTATGTTTGAAAAAAATCCAAGTTTCTTAGTAGATTTAATATGCGTACGTACCTTACACTAGAAGACTGTCACTCTACAACATGTATATTTATCTTTTAGGTAATATTTCTTCAATATAAACAGTTTAAATTGCGGTGCTACACTTGAATCTGAACTATAGAATTTTGCCATACCTATGTCCATTTTGAGGCTTGTGTTTTGTCATTTTTTATTAAAAACCAAATACTTAATTTGTTACATTCGTTGACAATAACTTGTAAAAAAGATTCACTTATATAGGCAGTAGCGCCAGTAGGACATGACAACATATGCAGGGATGGGAGCGTAAAATACCCAAAAATTCTTTTGATGCTAAATTAAGGGCTCTCTACAACTATTTTTTATCGACACGAACAAACTGCATGTTAAACAATGGATCCGCATTAAGGGTACGGTCCCATGTTGAGCAGAAAACACAATGGAAAGCAGAATTTCGTGAGAGTGGAAAGGATAGTGATATCTGACTATCTCTCTTGCACTCACGAAATTCTGCTTTGCATTCTGTTTTCTGCTCAGCATGGGACTGCACCCTAACTTTCAATTGTTCAAAATTTTAGTTTTACTAATTAATAAATAAACTAATTAATTAAATACAATAACAAAAAGCGTATAAGTGCTTTTATACCTCCAGTATTTTAGTTAAGTAAATTAGCTGGATAAATTTTCACGATAGTGTGACTTAATCTGATTGGCTGTAATAAATATTCCATTTCCACAGTTGCATTTTTAGACAACAGTGATAATGGAATTGATTAGCAGAGCTAATATAAGATGATTAAATTACACGACTGCGATAATTTATCCAGCCGATAAGTTTGACCAAAATATCGGAGGTGTAAAAGCACCTTAAGATCGAAAGCGGAAATTTATGAGTGCAAGAAGGATAGATTTATTTTAAAAACCTCCAATCATGTATAATTTAAAGAGATTTACAAGAAAAACTTATATAACCTTAAAATAAATTATAAACATCTAATAAACATTAACTGTGTTACATATATGTACAATATTATTAATATGTCCAAATGTTTATAATTTATATTTCATTCGTAAAATCGTAATTGCGTTGCTTCTACGAGAAAGTAGTGCAGCATAACAACCCAACACTGGGTGCAGGTTACTGTCCTTCCGGTTTGAGAACGAACAAATCGGTTTTTGTGTGATTTCGGGTAAATATCATTAATTTATAAAATTTATTTGTTTTATAGTAGTAGTTTTCATTTTCTTGGATTTAATAATAATAATAATAATGTATCATTAGAGTACTAACAATTGTAATCATACGAGTGTCAATTTTATAACTATGTAAAAGCAAAAGAAAAGTTTACAATATGACATTTGGAGGTTATATTGGTTGTGGCATAAAGGATTACAAATTAAGATAGCTTCCACTATCAAATAAGTAAAAATAATTCATGGCTTTTATTGTCTTCATATATATCGATTCACGATAAAGTGGAAAAAATTAAGGTTATATTTATGTTTCTTGAAGTGAAAATACCTAAGAGGATCAATTCTTATTACAAACCACAAACACACAGTGACAGATGAGTTTTTGGACAGACTGGTCGATTTTTTGAATGGTGAAGATGGTGAAGTTAGATTTTAGGTTTATGGATTATAATTTTTAATGTTTTTTATTTTAATTTATAAAATTGGTTCCAGAGCCCTTGAATAATCCTTTATTTTACTTTCTTCTTACATAAATTAAGCAGGAACCTGAGGAACATGAATACTTGCATTGGGTACAAAATATTAATATTTTGTAAACTTCTGCGATTTTTGAAAGTTAATATCTTCAGGGAATTTTTGGCCACAATTATCATAATTTTCTCACTCTTGAATGGATTTATGAGAAATTCTGCGGGGTTTATTTAAATTAATTCGTTCATTTGATTCTTTGTAAACTCAAGATTCCTTTTTGGTACTTGGTTTTTCCCCATTTTCCCCTATAGATGAAACAATAAAATTTATTCTTTAACCAATCTGTTAAAAACATTTTTGCTTATAAAAATTAATTACAACTAATTTTTTCATTAAAATAATTTCCTTTTATATTTATTGCAGCTTTAAAACTTATATTATTTTATTCCAATTTGCAGTTTTTCGATTTATTTTATTTCATTTCATTTATAAGGTCAAAACAAATAAATGAGAATTGCGAATTTGTAATTTATTTTTTTTGATAAATTTCAGGCCTCCCACTCATGCCACTATTGACACTTTTTGACACTTTTTTCAGTTGATGCCACTATTTAGCTACTATTTTGAAAAAAATGCCACTAATGCCACTTTTATGTAAAAAAATGGCCACTAAAGACACTATTTTCAACTCACATGTTTAACTTTTAACCTTTAGTGTTTAATTTTTAACTCAGGGTGGCCACCAGGCATTGAACTTTGAAAACTTGGAATTGGATGTGAATTTTGTAAAACCTTGAAATAACCTGGAATTATGCTTGATTTTTTCTTAAATCTTGAATTTTACTAATTTTGTTGATAAATAAATAATTTTTTTTGCTTGTCAAATTTATATTTTTGTATGCAGAATGCAATTTTGAAACCTTGAAAATTTCTTAAAAACCTGAAAAAACCGTAGCCCGACTGATCGCTATATTGGACATTATTTTATTATATTATAATATTGAACAAATCTTATAAATATTATCTATCTTTAGATTTTTCACGAAATAGGAAGCTACTATCGGCTTAAAAAATTTGTATACCCTCTAACTTTGAAAACTCATAATTAAGTAAAAAAATTCTTCTGGTCTTAAAACAACCTACATATCAGTAGATGCACTATTCCTACCTTACTATACAAAACTGCACAAAAAAAATTTTTTTGCATCAATAATAGAATAAATATATCCTACTGGCATGCTAAATTTTTTTAATAAAATATTTGAACCCTTTTGCAACATATTATATAAAAATAATTATCAATATTGCCAGTAATTCCTGAAAATTAAAAAAATATGTATTTCCTTACTGTAATATTATTTTTCACAATTTGCACTTCATGTTGACAAATCTGTGTCTTTATTTGCAAGGGAGTAGACCCTTTTCATAATGATGAGAACAATCCATGTACTTCAAAATTTCAAACATTCATAATTGAGGCTCCGGATCTTAAAAGGGCACTTTCCGCATAGACTTTACATGGTGAAAGTGCCCTTTTAAGATCCGGAGCCTCAATTGAGGCAAAAAATTTTTTTGTATTTTACAGTTTTGTATAGTAACGTAGAAGTAGTGTCGTTGATGATATCAGGTTGTCTTAATATCATATGAATTTTTTACCTGAGTTATGAGCTTTTAAGTTTTTTTTTGAGCCGATAGTAGAGTTTTTATTTGATTTTTGAAAAGTTAAGGGTGGCCACATGTCAGTAAAGTCAGGGAAATGTCAGGAAAAAAAATTTTTTGCCAGTTAAGTCAGGGAAATGTCGGGAAAAATTTTTTTGTCAGGGCAATTAAAGAAATTAAGTCGGTCATGCAATACATTTTTTGCTCTAAACAAAAAAATTTTTGTCAGGGAAATTCGTTATTATGTCAGTAAAATGTCAGGGAAATTGATAAAGTCAATCTTGCGGCCACCCTGAAGTTACAAACAAAAATAGTTTAGATAACGGGATAATGAATATCTATAGCAGTTTAAAACATAAATTTAATCATTTAATATTTATTTGTTAATAAATAATATGCCACTATTTTGACACTTTTCTGAACATTTTATGCCACTTTTGACACTATTTTTTATTGTAAAACTGAGTGAGAGGCCTGAAATTTAGAGAGCATGTAAAATTATTTTTATAGAATTGAAAGCAAATACTGATTATTTGTTAGTGGCCTTACATAACTTAGAATTGGTGCTTAGGATTTATAGTTAATATTAGTTTATTCTGACAGTTGGCTAAGCCTCAAATCATTTAAGAAGAAGAAGATATAGTTAACATTATGAAAACGGCTAATTTAAAAAAAAATTCTTCGTTTGTTCATTAACTTAAACTCATGGTTTTAAAATCATAAATTGAAAAAAAATTCTAGTTTAAAAAAAATATATTTTCATATTCATACCATTAAGATGGTTGTATTTAACTTATTTAATTAAATTTCATAATCTGTATATTAATCTTCAGAGGTTCCAAATTTTAAAGCAAAATCTCTTTAATTAAATATTTTATTTGCAATATTGGAAAGAATTTTTAACAAAAGAAAATGATTTGAAACAGAAAGTTAAACGAATTCATTTATACCAATTCTGATGATTTTCGATCACCCTCTTATTTAATCTTCTGAAACTCTACTGTGACCCTTCATCAGGATAAAGATGTTCTTGATTAAATTTCTACAGTTGGTAATTCTGTACTCCATTACAGTGGTTTAGCTAGTACAGAGAAACGCTATTCCAGCTTCTAGCAAGTGTTACAAGTCCTACAGACGCAGAAATAAAATTAAGTGCTCAGTAGACATAATTATATGAAAGAGGGCAGCGAGAATATTACCCTCGAATAGGTTTTAGGACAAAGGATATGGATTTAAATGTGATACGGAGACAGAATACGATTTTCATTTTCTGTTTGTTTAGTAAAATACACTTCTTAAATTATGCAATTAAAATAATTCATTGAGTTCCTTTTAAATAATACTTTGGTATTTTGTTCTTAATTGAAAATTAGTTAACAAATATTTTGTGCTTGTGCTTCAATGAGTTGGCCTATCTCACTTTTGTTTTGCAAACCCGCTGTAATGGACAACTTGGAAATTGATTCGATTGTTTTATTATTACCGTCAACTAGAGTAATATCAGATCCTTAAGTTGATTCCGGATATATAAAATTTTCTTTTTATTGACTAAATATTAACATCTTTTAAATTGAGAGTGCAGAGCAAAGAACCGATTATAATTTGTATATTTATGACCAATTCTTTAATTTGATCTCAATTATTAGAATATGAATTGAATGCTTTGAGAAAATAATGGAAAAAATTAAAAAAACTATTCAGTATGGTTTTTGATCTTCAACTTTGAATTTTCTTTTTCAAGGAAAGCATATTGTAAATTTGAACTTTTTGGCACATTTTCGAAGTTAAAGTTTGAGTAAAAAGGTGTGGGTGTGATTTCAGGCAAAACTAAATACATATATGCTTCATAATATTGATGACACACGATTTTCTTTTCACAAACTTAATCATAACAGCCTGTTAGCTAAATGTACAACTGTGGGGTGACTGGAAATGGGGTTAGTGCATGTAAGTACTAACTATTACTCCCTTCCTATATTTCTGCAGCTCACTCTATGCCCTATTGCTTATACTATCGTTACGCATCACAGACGTCCCTCAATCAACATTTACCCTCTCGACCTTTATTAAATTAATCTAACGTTTACTAAATTCATCGCATGGATCGTTCTGAAAGTTCATCATGAAGTGCTAAATGGAAAAACTGATTGTTTCTTAGGTGAACGAAAATTTAATTAAATATGGTTAAATATTTATTTATTTTTCAACTATGTTAAGATCCACTGGTTGTTGTGAGAGAAAATGAAAAGCATTTTTTTATTACGAAGACAAGAAAACTAAGTTAACATTTTGAAAGTAATGTCATGAGATTTTTATGTAATGCTACGTACATTACACTAAACGGTTGCTCAAGCGGATTGTTCGTTAGCGTCCTTATGTTTTTAAGAAGAATGAGATGGGTGACATATAAAGGATCGCCCTACATAATCGAACATGTGTATTCTGTTAGTTCATTTAATTAGAACTATTTCATCTTTGATTACTGTTAAGAGCCGTTAAGGTCGCTGCAAGATATGAACACCTGCGAACAGTCGATAAGAGGGTACATGAATATTCTCGAAGCGAATGTTTGATGATAAGTCTTATCGAAGATGAAGGATAATGGGAACGCGTATTGTCAGGCCAAGTCTGATGCAAACATGGAAGACTGAGTAGTTATTTAAATGTCTGCATGTGAGGAAATATTAAATATCCAACCTTAGCGAAAATTACACTGCAAATATTGACTTGCCATGTTCAGTCAATATTCAGACAATATTGGTTTATACGTTTGTATTAGCAGATGGAATTTTAATAATTATGCGAAAATATTTCATTTAATATTGATACAATACTGCCTGAACATGGCAATGTCAATATCTTCCATGAGCATAGCCACTCAAAGTTTATAATCTCGCTGGGCGAGGTGTTGTCAAGTTTCGGGAAATTCTTGGTGCTGTGTGGGTGACGAATTGAGGAATTTTTGATTCCTCAATCTGCGGTATTAACGTCTTTTTTTGCAATAGAGGACATCAGAATGTATACAGCTCAACACAGCATCGCCAAATGTTTGTAATATGGCTGTGGTAAAGTTCCTTCAAAGTATGGTAATGCATGAGTAACAAATTTCTCCATTCCGAAGCATTCCACATTTTGTACAAAATTATACTCCGCGGTGTTCGAATAATCCTTCACGGAGAGACTTTTAGTTACAAAAATTACTTTATTGTATTTCGATATTTCTAATAAAACGTAAGAATTTAGGGATAATCGAGGTACAGTTAGAAGAATTCTAACAAAGATTATGAAAAGACATAGTCAACGTCACTTTTCGTAATAAGTCTAAAAGTTTTTTGAATCTTTTCTAAAGCTTTATACTAAAAGTGAAGATTAGGTGACGCTACATATATATAGCATATATAGGGTAGGGGTATACAAAATGCGTTACTAGGCACGTGTATACGTATATAATACATATGTATATAAATATATACATGATTTATTATAATATTATTACACAATTCAATTGTTTAATCACTAATAACTTTTGAAACGTTTTTAACAAAATACTTTCAAGACGATGATGACGCTCGGTTGTTTGCTGAGTGTTCGCCTAACATTAACTGGTCTTCGGTTGTGGACGGAACTGTTCGGAAACCTTCATAAAAATATTCTAATAAAATTTTGTAAAAATTCAAACTGCTTACCATTTCAGAGCGTGTTAGTATTGAAAATAATACAGTATCTAAAATTTTTTGACATTTAATAGTATTCAAAATAGTGGGTTTACAAATAAAAATATCAGAATGTATTATAATTAAGTTCCATATTTTCGTATTTGCAATTGTCTTAACATCAAATGATATTCTTTCTAAACTTTTATACTAACTTCTGTTCCCTAAAAATTACAATAGTAGATAAAAGAAATAACACTACTTATTATTATAATAAGAACTATCATCATCGTACCTCGATTATCCCTAAATTCTTACGTTTTATTAGAAATATCGAAATACAATAAAGTAATTTTTCTAACTAAAAGTCTCTCCGTGTTGTGGGTGTTTTAATTGTTAACAATTTTTCATTTATAGTTGACGTTTGTCGAGGGTTTTCAATATACAATTCTTCCTCGGTGTCATTAAGGTACAGTAGAACCCCGGTTAACCGAGCTTCTTGTTATTTTAATAAATTACTTAAGTTATTATGGAATATGAATATAAAAGTCCCTTTCTCGTTTATAGTAGAGACTTTTTTAAAAATAAAATGTTAAATTACATATACTAAAATAACAGTCCGTTTTATCCGAGGTAGGTCCGGTCCACATTAGCTCGGATAATCGGGGTTCTACTGTATCTAATAACTAATCATTTGGTTACAACAAAGGAAGCATTGTCAGAAGTATCAACAACAACACAATCAACTAAGTTGAATTCCGGTAACATTGCTAAAGCCAAAACGCCTTTGAATCCATTAAACGGATGCTCATCTTTCAATGGCTACTATTCCATCTTCTCTTATTGCTACATTTGTGCGCATTACAAATAAAAGTGAAGGATAAATACATGTAATAATTTCCATTTGTCTAAGAGCATAACATAATGGACAACCATTTTTTCATCGTTTAATTTCTTTGTTCTTAAAACGTCCGATCTCGCTACCGCATCTGAAAATCACCTGAGTTCTAGTAGGGACTGAACCCTACACAATCCTGAAGAATAGAGAATTTTATTTCAATTTTTGAGTGGTAGCAGGTCCACCCAAACGGGGGTCATGATAATTATTCAATGGTGATGATGATCGTGTATTGGTTCTGAAGTACAATATTTAGGTTGAACGTTTTAAATCTTAACGATTCTTGTAAATTGTGTTAATAGTATCGTGGATTCTTGTGACCTCTTGTATGGATTAAAATCGTAATTATGTCTTTGGAAGTCATTTGCAGTGGACGAGATTTCTTTTTCTATACATGAAAAGAAGTATTCTTTGATGATATAAATAAGTGTTTATATACATCAGACTTGTAGTTATGCTCTAACTGTTCGTTTTCATACAGTTATTTTAAATTTCTATGGTTTTTAATGTAGTTTATTCTATACATTTTTTTGTTTTCAAACTATACCTTTTTGGAATGTTACTTTGTAAAGGATGGGTTTTATATTGAAACAGAAATTTAACAATCGAAACACTTTTAATATTCTCCAACGCTAAATGAAGTGATGTTTTATTATTTAAGTTCAATGAAATTACTCCACCGTAACCAGTTTTAAGCATAGATATTCTTCTCTTCATTAAAATATGGAATACTGAGAACTGGTTGATTCCGATTTAGAATCATTAATAGAAAACTACTAATTCAGATTTAGAGAGTAGTCACGGATATTGATCACACAGACAGGATAAAGATTATCATAATCAAGGCCTAGATTTTCCCGAAGAGTAATATTGCAGGCGGTTTCGGCTATTGTCTGTAGGCGAATCTTAAAAGCAATCCATTTTTCACCGCCCTGACAATTGATAATTCAGAGAGCATACTTTCAGTGTCCGCCTGTTCTTTTTAAAATTTATGTAAAAGAAAATATGTATCAGAATGATATTTTCCTATTAACAGGCGGAACCTATTGTGCAATCCTTCACTTATGTTGTACGTACGATGAGCTTTTCTTCTTCATGAAATAAGCACAAAAATTTTATTTAATGCACTCTAAATAAAAGTTTAGGTAGTACCACTTGGCAGTGGCGTTTTACATATGTTTTTATATACAAAAAGCTGTTTTTAAAAATGTATTATACATTTAAACAGAAAGGAAAAAGGTACATTCGTTTCACCCTAAAAAATCAGAAGTCTCCCTTAATGGGATTTTAAAACCATACTTACATGTCCCTTCGCGATATTATCTATAGGTTTTAGAACAGGGAAACACGCATATATCTAATATTGACACATGCTAACTAATACTATAATTACTTTTTCATTTTTCTTTACTAACACCCTAAAGTAAGCACGTAATATTACTGTAAGGTAATGTACGCGTACATTACCCCAAAGTAATATTAATTTACATATAGTTGAATCTTTGCAATCATTTCTTTTCCTGGATATAATCAGGTTTGTACCTTGCAATATTTGATGAGAAAATTATCTTCTTAAT